AAGCCCAATTCACGGAGCTCAATTTATTCATTTCTTTTGCATGTCAAAGGGAAGCACAATGCGTCTCCGCAGCATCGACAACAAAGCGTTAGAAGGAGCAGAACTTCCTGAGGTCTTCCTTAAAAGAAATATGACTTCCTGTAACCACATACCGCTTTTTTTTAAGGTTCTTTCTTCCTGCCCGTTTTGGCTTCTGAGAATTTCTAATTTCATCCTTCCCTGTCAAATGAGACACTTACCCTTTGAGTGAGAGAGGCAGGAAAAGGGAGAGGACATGATGGGGGAAAGGAGCCAGATTGATGCATTTCTGCTGAAGATAGAGGCACGCCTGTTTTTTTGGAGGTGTGGTGGTGAGGCAAGTCAGGTGTATGCAAGTTTTCTGCTCATACTTTCTGACCATCCTGTGCCTTCCTACACATGCCAATTATCAAACATATGAAAAAGGTCACCGAGAATGCAGTTGCAGTCTAATGAGCAACCAGATACCTGTGGGTATATCTGACGGTGGAGATATAGGACACAGTCATCATGGCTAGTAGCCGCTGATAGCCTTGTTCCTCAAGAGGAAGGAGTCCTTCTAGATCCAACCCGTTAGGCAGAGGTGGGTTTAGGAGAACGTGCCCAGTTCAGTTGCACTGGGCGTGAAGCCTGGGCGTCGCTACAGGGGGCAATGCAACTATGATGTAGAACAGAGGGTGAGAGGCAGGGGCGTGCTGGAATTTGGTGTTGCACAGAGTGCCACTGAAATTTGAGACCACAATGTCTGCCACTGCATTAGGAACAATGGAAGCTGTCTTATCCCAAGCCAGGCCATTGGTCCTCCTAGCTAGTATTGTCAACTCTGGCTGGCAGCAGTTCTCCAAAGCTTCCAGCAAGAGCTTGCTCCAGCCCTTCCTGAAGGCACCATAATTTGAACCTAGATCCTTCTGCAGAAGAAGAGTTTGGATTTGATATCCCGCCTTTCACTCCCCTTCAGGAGTCTCAAAGCGGCTAACATTCTCCTTTCCCTTCCTCCCCCACAACAAACACTCTGTGAGGTGAGTGGGGCTGAGAGACTTCAAAGAAGTGTGACTGGCCCAAGGTCACCCAGCAGCTGCATGTGAAGAAGCGGAGACGCGAACCCGGTTCCCCAGATTATGAGTCTACCACTCTTAACCACTACACCACACTGGCTCTCTACAGGCCAAGCAATCTCTGCAGGCCAAGCAATGTTCCACTGCTGAGCTACAGGACCAACAAATGAGATCTGTTGTCCTTTACAGGCTGTGCCATTTCCAAAAAGGATGCGAGGCACTAGAAATGCAATCAGAAGCGGTGTCGCAGCGACATTGGTAGGCTGAAAACACCACCTACCGTCTAGCGTTTTGTTTCTGGAGATGGCAGTGGCTTCCCTGAATATAACAGCCAAGGCGGTGAGAGCTGCATGCCTAAAATGGAAATGGAAGAGACCTTTGGAGAGGATGGACGGCGCTGAACTCTGCGAGCGAGTGGCCTCTTCCTTTGAGCCCGATGAAATATGCTCGTATAAAAAGCCGGGAGTAAACAAATTTCCATGTTTAACAATCTCCAGGCCCTTTTAAGCTTTCCCACGGAACTGACCCCTATAACTGTAAGCGGGCGATATGGGTGAATAACACAAACGGCTGGGGGAAAAGGACAGGCTGACCCAGGCATGACCTTCCTGCAGCCAGGTGTGGCGAGGGATGGTGGGTTTAACTTCAGTCTAGTGCATTCCACCTCAGTGTTGAGGGCTGATAAAGAGTCTTGGGGAGGAGGAGGGGGAAGGGTTAGGGACGAGGTCCTTTGGTGATGCAGGATCAGATTCCAAAAGATAAAGGAGCTGCTGTGTCTCAGTTATTGAGGAATAACCGATATGGGGGCAGGGTGGGGAGGAATGTGCTTTTGGACCTGAGAGGGTCAGGGAAGAGAGGAAGGGAAGTGGGGGGTTGCTCACAAGTGGCCCCAAGTTCAATGCCCTCCCCCATCGTCTCTGAGGAAGGTTGGGAGAGAGACCCCCATCTGAAAGTGGTACCTCCGGGTAAGAACTTAATTCGTTCTGGAGGTCCGTTCTTAACCTGAAACTATTCTTAACCTGAGGTACTGTGATGGCTTGGGATTCGGACTCGGATGCTGAACCTGAGGGATTCCAGCCTGCACAGGATCCCCCGCCTCCAGAACCAGCTGAGCCGGGGCTGGGGTATGAGCCTAAAGGGTCCTCACCTGTGCTGGATCCTCAGGTGCAGGCATCAGCTGAGTCTGCTCTGGCTCCTGAGGTGATGGAGGACCCATTGCTGGCAAATGCTCCACTCTCAGTCCCGTCAGAGGAAGCTGAGGTTGCCTCTGGGTTCAGTAACCTTCCAGCCTCTCCTGAGTTGCAGAGGCTCAGGGCAGAGAGGCGGAGGGAACTAAGTTCCCGCAGGAGGAGTGCTTGCCTCCAGGCCAGGAGAGGTGAGTCACCAGAGGATCGGGGCTGCCCAATGCCTCGGGGCAGATAAAAGCCAGCCAGCCCCAGTCCCAAGTTGTGGGAGCAACATTGTTGGTTGCTAGTTCCTGCCTGAACCCTGTCCTGCTTTCCTGCCTGAACTCCTGACCCTCCATGGCTCCCTGCTTGCATGCCTGTTCCTGACTTCACCCAACTCCCTGCCCTGCACCCAGCTTCAGCTACTACGGACTGCCTCCACGTTGCATCTTTGACCACAGACCGGACTTGGACCTCGCCTCTTGGGTAACCCATGGGACCAGCACAGGTACCATTTTAGCTAATGGGGCCTCCCACTGCCACCGCGCCACCACCGTGCAATTTCTGTTCTCATCCTGAAGCAAAGTTCTTAACCCGAGATACTATTTCTGGGTTAGTGGAGTCTGTAACCTGAAGTGTCTGTAACCCGAGGTACCACTGTACTCAGTGTAGATGATACTGAGCTTGGTGGACCAAATGGTGTGGCCAGCTCTGAACTGGAGGGACCAGCTCCGCTTGTATCGGGTCTTTTCCGCTACGGCGAAGCGGGGACCCTTCTGGAAATCACAGGCAGATGAAGCCTGTGACCGTGGGACTCGGCGGGCACCCTTAGCGCCCCCCCAACCCGCAAAGGAACCCACTAACGGGCTCTGAAGCGAAGAGGGGGAAGTGGCGCGGTGCTGTGAGTCAATTGCTTTTTCTGTGGAGCGAAGCCGCATAGCCGTTGCCGGAGAGCGCTGCCTTTTTCCTGGGACAATTTGGCATCTAAAATAACCACCCGTGAGTACTGGAACATTGAACATTTGGACTTTAAATAAGAACTGGCGAAATAGAAAGGAATTTGGACTTAAAAATTTACCTTAATTTGGTACTGAAACGGGAAGGTCTAAACAGGAAGTCAGCCTTCCGTTTCCTTGTAGCCAGAATAAAGCAAAGACAACGTAAACTAGAGCTTTAAAAATCACTTTCAAAGGATTGGCTTTCATCATTTAAAATCGCTGAACCCCCCTTCGGCAGCAGGAGAAGAAGGGGGATTTTTTTGGGGGGGGGGGCTGTTTAAACCTGCAGAAGTGAGTTTAAAGCAAAGTAATTTTCCACCATCCTGATCCTGGAGCGGGGTGTCAGAATTGACGTTTGAAGCTCATTGACCAGAAACAAATGTCTTTGACAGATAGTTAAAAGAAGAGAAACATAGTGATTCCATTGTTTCCTTTCGCATTTTAAAAAGAACAAATATGGACAAAATACCTTAAAAAAGAAACTTTGTTGCTATTGTTTTTAAAAGAAAGAACAACCAGAAGATTTCCCCCTAGAGGGGACTGTGAAATTGTAACTAATTCCTGGAGCTTGCAGCTGCCACAGATTACAACCATGGGAAAGGATTTGTGACCTTGCAGGACAATGTCTTCAGAAGCACTGTTGGGTGCTCTCTGCAAAATAAATGCCCTATTGGATCAGTTAAGCCAGAAGACGGATTTGATGACTAATGCGGCCAGAACCTTTGAACAGGTAGTGGGAAACTATATGGAGCCCACCCAGGAGCTAAAACAGGAGTGTGCCATGACAGAACAGTTGAAAGAAGAGGATGCTGCTGAATCTTGGGCGCCAGAGACGGAGGGAGCTGCGGCCCAGCAGGAACATAAATTTTTGGATTTGATAAATGAACTTGGAAAAAACCAGACTTGGAAAGACAAAGTTTGGTTTGGTTTGGAAATGGGGGTTGGACAGACCTCCTATACAAGGAGATTTGGACTTTTCGAGTCTGGCAATGGGCCGCCAGATGTTTGGAGCTGTGGGGCTCTTAATTTTGGAGGGAATCTGAAACATGTTTTTAAATACCACATGGAGTCTAGTCTGGACTATGGAAAAGGGGCTGATTTGTTGAAAAGGGTCAAAAACATTACCAAGCTGGAGTTCCCACGAATGAAAGGAAAATATGAAGAAGAGCTGCGGAAGGGACATGGAAGAGACTTGAGGGCTTCGGATATAAGATTACCAGGTTAATGTGCTAGATTAATAAGATAAAAAGGACTGAGAAAACCCGGGACCAGGAGGAAGGGACGCTGGATGAAGATTGGATTGTTTATTTCTTTTTTTTTATCATTAGGATTGTTCTATAAAATTGATGAATGGTAGAAAAATGTTGAAATGAAATTACTTGGCTCTTGTAAAAATGTTTAAAGAATTTGGTAAGAATGTTATGGCTAGGAGAAGTTGGTAAAAATAAGATTTAAGTTTTAAACTTTAAGGTTTTCTATAAGATAAGATGAAAATAGATTAAGGTAATGTAATGACAGAATACTATGAAATATGAAAAGGATTTGCTGCGATTATTATTAATCAGGATACAAGAAAAGGGAGGAGGAGGAGGTCAAAGAAAGAAGGTATTGAAAGTGGAGAACTTGAGAATGATGGTTTTCTTTTTTCTTTTTCTTTTTCTGTCTTGTCTTTTTTTGTGTAATTTAAAAAAAAATATTTTTTTTCCAATAAATATCATTTAAAAAAAAAACACAAATGGTGTGGCTCAGTATCTCCCCATCTTGGCCACAGCTCAGTGGCAGAACATCTGCTCTGAATGCAGGAGGTCCCAAGTTTAACTCCTGGCATCACCAAGCAGGTCTGGGAGACACCCCTGCCTGAATCTACGCACAGCAACTGGGAGTCAGTGTGGACAATGCTGAGAGACATGGACCATCTGACTCTGCATAAGGTGGCTTCTTGTGTTCCTACAGTGAAGGACCTATCTTGGAAACTGGTAAGGAAAGGAGGCTCAGTGTTGGAAAATGAGGGGGCCAGTTCAGATGTTCAGCCTGAGCAATTTGTATCATAACACTAGAACGCAAAGAATCAAAGAGCCACAGAATTGGAATGTTGGAAGGGACCATGAGGTCACAGCTAAAGAACCCCTGACAGATGGCCATCCAACCTCTGCTTAGATACCTCCAAGGGAGGAGAGTTCACCATCTTCTGAGGGAGTCCACTCCACTGTCAAGCAGCTCCTACTGTCAGAAAGCTCTTCCTGATGTTTAGTCAGAATCTCCAATCTGAATCCATTGGTTCAGGTTCTACCCTCTGGAGCAGGAGAAAATAAGCTCGCTCCATCTTCCATGTGACAGCCTGTGGTGATCACACAGGGTCCCCGGACGTTTAGCAGTCTATTGATCCCTGTGCCACCACTGTGCTCGCTTCCCCACTGCCACCAACCAGTTACTCTCTGGTAAAACACTGAGTCCTGACAGTTGTTAAAAGTGAACCAAAAACCCCCACAAGTTTATTTTACAGACATTAACAAATTTATGGTTTCTCCGATAATATTCCTGTCAGTATCTTAACTTTAGTTTCTTTACCGGCCTATAACTTCCTAGTACCTTCTGACTGATTATCTTCAGACTGACTGCTCTTAACAAATTCTCTCACTCTCTCACACCAGACTAGCCCAACCCACAGACTTATCTTCTCTGTCTCGTCTAACTCCAGACTGTCTTCACCCTAACTCTAACTCTCTCCAAAAAAACCTCTGTGCTTAAACCTTATACACAGTTAACTCCACCCCCTGGGTTCCCATTGGTTAGTCATTTTACAGTTAGTTAACCCTTTACCTATGAACCCAGTATGATGCCACATACATAGGAGGGCAAATGCCACACAGCCCTTCAGATATTTGAATTGAGTCACTTTTATTAACAAATTGGGTAAAGGGACACCAAATTGCCATAAATTTATCAGTTTTGGTTCTCTCTCTCCCTCCCCCTCCCCCATGCCTCTCCTGACTTCTGGGTCAACTTTTCACCCAAGACTAGTTGCCAAATTGTATTGCACCTAGCTGTGATTCCTGCATTTCAGGGCTTTGGAATCTTCCAAGTCAACAGATCTATCATTCTAAATTTTCAGGGAGAGATGTTCTGCTCCTCTCCAGCTCCTGGCAATTCCTAGCGATGCCACTACAAGAAACTTCATGACCTGCAGTTCATAGTAGTAAGGTGTGTCCACTCCATCTCTAAATCTTGAGAGGAAGGCTCAGGTCAGGAATAAGCATCCAGCCAACAACCTGCCCAATGGCATCAAAATATTCAACCCCAAACCAGCTTGTTCTATTTTCCATGTATTAGCCTTTTAGATATTTGAACTTGGCTATCAAATATCCTCTCAGCTTCTCTTTACCACACCAAACATACCCAGCTCCTTCAACCGTTCCTCATAAGGCTTGGTTTCTAGACTGTTCATCATCTGGGTCAATCCTCCTCTGCACCCATTCCATCTTGTCAATATCCTTCTTAAATTGTGGTGCCCAGAACTGGACACAGTATTCCAGGTGTGGTGTGACCAAAGCAGGATACAGTGGGGCTATGATTTCCCTGGATCTCAACTCTATACTTCTGTTGATGCAGTCTAGACCAGGCATAGACAAACTCCGGCTCTCCAGATGTTTGAGACTACAATTCTGATCATCCCTAGCTAACAGGACCAGTGGACAGGGATGATGGGAATTGTAGTCCCAAAAATCTGGAGGGCCAGAGTTTGCCTATGCCTGGTCTAGAATAACATTAGCTTTCTTGCTGATGTTGCATCACACTGTTTACCTTGTGGTCTACTAAGACCCCTAGATCCTTTTCTCATGTACTCCTGGCAAGTCAGGTGTCCCCCATCTTATATATGTGCAGTTGGTTCTTCCTGCCTAAGTGCAGAACCTTATATTTGTCCCTATTGAAATTCATTTTGTTAGCTTGGGCCCAGTTCTCCAATCTGTTAAGGTCTTCTTGAATTCCAATTCTGCCTTCTGCGATATTAGCTACCCCTCCCAGTTTGGTGTCATCTGCAAATTGCATGAGCATCCCCTCAATCTCTTCATCCAAGTTTTTTTTTATAAAGATATTGAACACCAACAGGCCCAGGATAGAACCCTGCAGCACTGTGCCTTGGTCTAAGGGACCAATCCTGTGAGGATCAGATGGAGGACAGGGAGAATGTGTGTGTACCACCTAGAACTCCTTGGAAGAAAGGAAGGATATAAAAGGAAGGAAGGAAGGAAGGAAGGAAGGGGATTTGGCGCTGGCGGTATGGAGGGAGAATTTAAGTTCTTCTCCATCTCACATTAAAAACCAAGGCAAGCATGTAGACTAACTGGAAATTTCTGTTTCTGAGCCAGGAAACTTAACTTTCAGTGGCATTGCTAAATATATCCTCTTTGTAAATAGATTAAGACGAGCTTGTCTCTAGCTGAATGCTAAATGCATGCAAACCCCTTCCCCAACTAACTACTAATTTATCTCTATGATTAATAACCCCAGAGTGGATATGGATGGATTGAGGAGGGGGGAATCTGAAGCTGAGAGGCAGCCACTGGCATCAAGTTTCTGACTGGGTTCAGCGCTGAGGAAAAACGCAAATCAGTGGAGTTCTTCTGACTCTCACTTTTTAGCCACTGCACTAGATCTTCTCCAAGCCCCCAGTAATGGCTTGGGGGGGGGCTTTTTTGGAACAATAGAGGCTGGGTCATTGGAGTGAATGGGGCAGTGCCCTTCCAGCCTCTGGCAGCCCTCAGCAAACCCCCACCTGCCTGCCCTCTTTCTCAAAAGTCAGGGAGCGCCTCTGCCTGTCGTTGGCTCTCTGGTGCCACCTACTGTTGGAGTCCCTGCCTTCTGCCCTGTCAGGTCCAATAGGCACCAGTCACCGCTGCTTTGAAACTGTGTGGATAACTGAGTCTGTGAGGTAAAAGTGGCCATGCGTGTCGAAATCGAGCCTGGCATCAGCAGGTGGCAACACTGGCCTAGGGTCCCTGCTGCTGATACCACTATCCCGGGGCCATCTTTCATGCTGCAAAAATGGAGGAATTCTTCTCACAGGATGCAGATAAACCATGGAATCTGCTCCCACCCAAAGTAGCGATGGCCACCAATTTAGAGGGCTTGGAAAGAGGATTAGGCCGAGTCAAGGAGGATAAAGCTATCCATGGCTTAGTGGCTATATTCTATCGTCATATGACCCATGTGAGACCGTGGACCTGGTAAAAAGGCTTTTTGGAACACAGCACCCAAAGATGTGTGTTTTGGGGCGCTTTGCAAGATTGCTGCCCCCCAAAAACACTTGGTGTGGTGTAGTGGTTAAGAGCGGTGGACTCATAATCTGGGGAACCGGGTTCGCGTCTCCGCTCCTCCACATGCAGCTGCTGGGTGACCTTGGGCCAGTCACACTTCTCTGAAGTCTCTCAGCCCCACTCACTTCACAGAGTGTTTGTTGTGGGGGAGGAAGGGAAAGGAGAATGTTAGCCGCTTTGAGACTCCTTCAGGTAGTGATAAAGCGGGATATCAAATCCAAACTCTTCTTCTTCTTCTTCTTTATTCGAGGCAAGCTCTTGGCCCGAAATCTCATAAGCAAGGCTCCCAAAATGGCCACCATGCTCTCTCGAGGGGGGAAAAAGGGATGTCCCATTTTTTTTCTGGGGCATTTGATGAATATGCTAGCGCAGTGTGTACCGGAATACAAGTTGCTGTCAAGCACTTGGCAGTCACCACAACATTACCCACAATGCCCTGCAGCAATAGCATGCGACTGTGAAGCACTACAATGGCCTCTCTGTTTGGAACATTTGAGCAGTTCTGCCTCGTCCTGCTCACCCACCAGCACTTCACATTGGCCTACTCACAAGAAGTCCACACAACCTTCCCCGTGCATTGAAATAATACTTGAGGGAGATACTGCAGGGCCATGTTGGCTAGCCCTGATGGTACACAACCTGAACACAGCTGAAGAGTTCCTGCCCCCACAACTACCCACAGGTTGGTAAAGAGTTCTCCCCCTTCCTCAGAACATGGACAAAGTTCTTCCACATGATGGAGGGCATTGAATGGACCGCCAGCAACATACATTTCAAGTGTGATGATGCCACTTCAAAAGAGTCACAGCTTCTCCAAAGAATTTTGAGAGCTGTAGTTTGTTAGTTTGCTGGGAGACCTCTAATCCCCTCACAGAGCTCCAGTTCTCAGTGTGCAACTAAACATGTCTCTCCCTCATCAGTGTCTAGACCAGGCATAGGCAAACTCGGCAGTCCAGATGTTTTCGGACTACAACTCCCATGATCCCTAGCTAGCAGGACCAGTGGTCAGGGATGATGGGAATTGTAGTCCCAAAACATCTGGAGTTTGCCTATGCCTGCTCTACAGCTACTAACAAAACAACAACAAAAAAACCTATGGTCACGTAAAGCATACTCAATAAATACACGAGACTTAACCGGCAGTGTTCTTAAATGAATAAGGTATGCTATTCATTGTAAGAAATTGTAAATTTCAAAAGTAGTAACTCATAAAGTTCAACAAACGAACAAAGCAGAAGACCCAGTGGATCAGATCATTCTATAGTCAGTTCATGCAGAAGGTCCATCTTCTATTGCACCTGTCTGTTCATAAAGTCCAAACCATCCACATGAAAGGTTGTTACAGTTCCACAAAATCCTTTCACAGAGACAAGGATTTCCGGAATATTGGCCTTGTTTCGCCGTCCTGGGCTTTATCAGTAGTTAAAACTCCTATGTGATATTACAGGACAGTGGATCTTATGACATAGTAGTAGCTGCGTCCCGTGTGTTTATTGAGTATGCTCTACAGCCACAGCAGGCACTGCAACCTTCCAACATAGAATTGTGTTGGACGGGACCCCCCCAGAGTCATTTAGTCCACACCCCTGCAATGCAGGAATCCTGTCCACAGCCACCCCTGGGTGGGCTCGAACCACCAACCTTTTGGTTAACAGCTAGATACATGGACCCATTCTGCCATGGGAGGGCTCCCCCACCCGTTCGACATCACCCCCAAAGGTGTAACCCTCCATTGTCTCCCAAGACAGGCGGATGCCATCCAGATTAATGGCCAATCCCTCTTCCCAGGGAACTCTTGCAATTATAGCTCTAGCAAGGGAACAGCAGCCACTTAGCAACCCCCAGCCGCCTCAACAAACTACAGCTCCCAGAATTCTTTGGGGGAAGCCGTGAAGGGTTTAAAGTGGTATCTCTTTAAATGCATGGTGTGAAAGCGGCCTTGGTCTTTCCTTAAATGCCCTATGCACAGTTTGTAGACACATAGACTGCTTTCCCACACGGATTGAAGACACAGGTGGTAGGGGAGCATTTCTACTGTGCAGCTCTAGCTGCCATGGCCCCATAGCTGCCGCCCCCCCCATTCTTTCAACATGGGGGGGTGTGCTGTGTGAACCTGTGACACACTTGAAATGCGTTGATTCTCAGCCACTATTCTTGTTCTTTGGTTCCTGCCACAGAGAGCCGCATTTGAACCTAGCCTCCATGCACGAGGCGATGGAGGGACACAGCTGAAAGTGTCGAAAGCCCCTCCTTTGCAAAACTTTGCGGTTTCCATCCTGCAAACGAAGCTGCTTCCGTTAATTAGTCGGCCCTCCTAGGCATCCTGAGCAGATGATATGTTTGTAATTGGGGGCGGGGGTGGGCAGAGAGAGGGGCTGTAGACTGAAAAGAAACAGGGGGGGAAGGGATGTGAGTTTGGGCAGACGGGAGATGCTCTGAGCCGTTTCAACCGGGGCACGGTTCTGTCTCTTATTCATACTCATTGTCCATCATTGTTGCACCAGACACGCTCAATTCATAGTCCCCCCCCTTCTCCTTTCTACCATGTCAGGCCGTGGTCTTGCTCTGTTTCTTGTTAAGAAAGAACTGCTCAGGGGAAGAAATGTTTCCCAGACGGGAGGTCAGCAGGTCAGTCTGGACCTCTGGACATTTGTGCTTCTTAGCGGTGCAGACATGTCATGTGAAAAACAGTGTGATCCTTTTGAGCAGTCGGCGGCGGCGGGGGTTTGTTTGTGGGTTACGCCACAAAGCACAACTTAGATCACAAGATTAGCTGTCAGGTCATCTGCTTTGAAATCCATTATGAAAAACACCCGGAAAACCGATGGTCGGCTCGAAGTCTTTTCGTCGGCGAAAATTGCCAAGAAATTGTCTGGGGAGCGTGTTTGTCAGTTTTATATAGCTGTGGAAGTGTGAGCCCGTGGCGTGGATCCCGAAAAATCACGTTTTTACCCTAGTACGTTTCTGTCACTCAGACTAAATCTGTCGGCAAAACTTCCAGTCTGGATTAGAACGCTCTAAACTCAGCTGTTCGGTGCGGGGATAAAATGCATCTTGCAAAAGTTTGCCATGGACTAGAAAAGAGGAGTTAAAAAGTGAAAAGGGGGGGGGAGAGAGGCATGGATTGGGGGGAGGGATATGGAAGTGAACCACCCCCCCCGCACACACAAACTGCAGATTACAAAACCAGAGTTTTGTATGTAAACACTGCTGCTGACTAAATCAGTTGTCCGGGAGAACAGTTCACATTTGCTACATGAGTTCGGGTCCCCCCCCCCCCCCGAGATTAAGAATAACGATAGAAATTACCACTAGGGAAGGGGAGGGGGAATCAGTTAAGCAGCATTTTTTTAAAAAATAGAAATGTATGAAAGAATCTTTTAGCATCAGATTGCCGAAAAAATTCTTAGCATCATGCAGGAAACTGTCTCTTTTTCAAAGTCGCTGGTTTTCATTTGGGGGAGAGAAGGCTGTGTTTTGTTGTTATTACATTACATTAACCCCCCCCCCCGACTGTCAAATTTTGCATAGATTTATGCACGATAATCATGTTTGCATACCCTATAATTCGAGTGGAAGTATAAAATGCAAACTGCTTAAAGAGAAAAGTGAAGTGTGTGCAGAAGAAGAGGAGAGAGAAGAAAAAAACGCAGATAAATGAACAAAGGTTGTTTGGCTGTTCATATTCATAAGCAAAAACTTAGATCATTCCCCCACCACCACCACCGCCCTACTGCCTTTTTTAAAGCAAAACCCTCACCGTATTTGAAGCTGTGTTATTTGCAAATAATAATCATAAAAGGACACGGACAGTCAAATATGGCAAAAACATCAGAAATGTACTAAGGGGGAAATTTCATTGGGAATATTTCATTTTCTTTCAGGATACATTACGCTCATGGAGTTTATATTTTATCCCCATCCCACATCAATTTTTTCCCCATTCAACATATTTTACATTGTAACCAGCCTTGAGCCTGATGAACATAAAAGGAGAAAAACCCCATCGATCCATCAATAAAAATCCAGCCTTTCCATCCAACCTTGTCACCGTTAAGGTAAGACACACATATGTACGCAGAGAAAGGCGAAAACACCCAAATATTTTGTTGCCTGTCAAAAGGTATTACTGATTCCAAGCTGGTGAATTTCCTTTCTCTCCCGCCCCCCCCTTTTTTTACCTTGAAATGTATTTTCGTAACGACAGGCAAATGAATTCATAAAAAGGCAAGAGTATTTGGCACTATTTCATTCCGCGGAAGGTACCCCTGTAGCGTGTGAGCTGAATTTTATTGATTTGATCAGAAGGATGATTAAGGATCTGCTCTTTCCGAAATATAGCCACTTCATTTAGCAGCAAACACCTCTACGCGGGGGCGCCCGATTTGGCATTCTCTGCATACGCTCCCCAACATTGCTCGGATTGTGCAAACCATGGATGAACATGTCACCATTGTACTTTAAGGGAAATTTGCATAAAACAATTACCCCATGGACAGTGGCTTCAGAGTTGTCTAGACAACATCCCTTAGATGGTATCACTGACCTCAGACACACTAGGCTAGCTTTAAATTAGCAATGAGCAAGACTGGAGGGCTGTATTATGGTAGTTATAAACCATAAGAAGGTATTTAAATAGATAGATAAGACACATGCAAATCTGCCCATTGCCATGACAACCATCTTGATATAGGTTTTCCATATGTAGCAAGAAGGGCAGAGCAAAAGGCACCAAGGGGGGAAAAAAATAGCACAGAACCTGTAAAGATAATGAACCCTGACAGTGTATTAGACTAGCTCTTGGTCACTTATTAACTCTTAATAGAATACAAACTTCTATAGTAGTACATTGCTCATTGGGTCAGAGAGCAATTACTTCTAAACCTCTGCCGGTACGGATCTCAGCTATATGGTTGCACCTAATGTACCAATTCTTCACAAATTGATCTGGCTGATTAAAAAACACTTTGCGATTAGATGCAAATTGCTTAGCTGCTCAAAAGCGCTTGGCGGGAGAGGATGGCAAAATGTGTCATTTTCCAGAACGCGTCTATATTTCCTCGAATTTATTTTTAAAAATTATTTCCCAGCATGGAGACGGTTAGGATTGCTCCCAGCAGCCAAATCCTGCACATCTCTGAATTTTCTCCAAACTGTTTGCCTCGGTGCAACCATGATCAAACTGAGGGGGAACGGTATACATTTTGAAAAATTCAGATTTTTAAAAAATGCTCTGTGATAAATCACTTGTTTTGCAGGGAGTCGCTGGTGGGGTTGGAGGGGTTTGGATGCCACTTTTTTTGGGGGGGGGAACGAACATGAAACAAAAAACATGCCTTTTGTCTGAGTCCCGCATTGGTCCCATTAACAGGTGTTCCCAAAGCCTCCATTTGGGAGCTGGGGTTGTTCCCCTTGCCAGATATTTCTCAGGTTGAAACTAGAAAGTGGGAAGGAAGGCTGGGATGTAAGGAATAAAGTTTCTGGAAAGGCCCCAGGCACTGGGTAGGCCCCCGCCTCTGCTGAGATGCCTCTGAGTCAAAGGAGGCGATGTAGGACTCCAACTTCCATCAGCCCCAACCAGCATGGCCAGTGCTCAGGGATGATGGGAGTTTGAGTCAGTGGAGGATCGTCCATGTCATGGACTGGTTGGATGCAAAGGAATGGTGGGAGGAACCAGTTGGGGAACAACCAAAGGAAGGGGTGTGGTGGTGGGGCAATGATTAGTGGTCGGAGGAAAAAGAGAGAGAAGAATGGGAAGAGGACGGATTGGAAGCTGAAGAGGTAACAGGGTTTAGTGAGAAGTCCAGAATCAGAGGCAGAAGGTGAAGTCAGGAAGGAGGGAGGCCAAGACGCAGAGAGCGAAGACTCATGGGTGTCTCCCTTTCCTGCTGGGACAACAAGCTCCCCTCATTCTTGATCTCCCAGAACCAGAAGAGGCATAAAAAGGGCAGAGGAAAGGTTGGCTGCAGGCAGGCGCAGTCTCTGGTTGCTTGGGAAATGCCCTGGAGAGGAGGGGAATTAGACGGCTTTGGGGAGTCAGGAATCATGCTTCCCAGAGGCATCTGGTTGGCCACTGCGAGATCATGATGCTGGACTTGATGGACCAGTGGCCTGATCTGGCAGGCTGTTCTTGTGTCCTTAACCTCTGTGTTTCCCATGTCCTTTCATCTTTAGTCAATCAAGCAGCTCTACCTTTCCCTTTCCAGGGACACGGGTGGCGCTGTGGGCTAAACCACAGAGCCTAGGACTTGCCGATCAGAAGGTCGGCGGTTCGAATCCCCATGACGGGGTGAGCTCCCATTGCTTGGTCCCTGCTCCTGCCAATCTAGCAGTTCGAAAGCACGTCAAAGTGCAAGTGGATAAATAGGTACCACTCCGGCGGGAAGGTAAATGGCGTTTCCATGTGCTGCTCTGGTTCGCCAGAAGCGGCTTAGTCATGCTGGCCACATGACCCAGAAACTGTACACCGGCTCCCTCGACCAATAAAGCGAGATGAGCGCCGCAACCCCAGAGTCGGTTGCGACTGGACCTAATGGCCAGGGGTCCCTTTACCTTTACTTTCCCTTTCCCTTTCCAACTCAGGGGAGACGGCAGGCTTGCGAAATCTACTTTGGGTTTTGGGGGGAAATCTCTTTTTTAAATAGAACTCTGAGGTCCACCAACTGGACCCTGGTCCAAATTAGTGGCTT